TTGGGCTACAGTACCATGTGCTCAGAATTGAAGGGGTGGGGGCAATGAGAGAGGCTCCACCCCACCCATCTACAGAACCAGGGGAGTAGGGGCGAGGGAAGAGGGGGTCCTTCCTTCCAAACAGTCCCCCATGGCTTGGAGAGAAATGGCCTTGCATCTGTCTGTCATATTGCTTGGGGAATAGTTAAGGGAGAGTGCGCAGCTTGGCAAGGTGGAACAAAGGAGAAATGACTTTGGTGCCAGGGTAGGGAAGGAGGCCCAGAAAGGGAATGTGGGTGTACACCATTATTGCTTCCTCCTAGGGCAAAGGGTCAGGGAGGGGGGCAGGAGGATGCTGGGGGGATGCCTAAGATGGGGCTCTGGGTCTGGCCCCGCCCCACCCAAGGTGCAGGTGGGAGCCACTGCAACCCTCTCCTATGGCCATGAGAATCATTAAGGCAGAAACAAGAGGAGAAGCAGCTGGAAGAAGGGGGTGCAGCTTGGAGCTGTCCCCCCAAAATGGAGAAAAGTCAAACGGAACCCAAAGTGGAAGGGGACGGGGGTGGCAAGTGGATCAGGCCCTCCTCAGAGCGCAGACCCCAGGCTGGTGGTGCAAATGTCCCCCTCACACCTTCCCCTCCCAGCATCCTAAGTTGTACAGCATCCCCAAGCCTGTCCCCGAGTCAATATTGCCAGGTTTGTGCAAAATGAGGTGGAAGACTTGGCGGGGAGGCAGTGAGCCTGAGAGGGGCTGGAGCTGGGGCCTCTCACAGTGACCCGCCGCACTGGGCCCCTGCCCAGAATGGCTATTCCCTGGCTGGATTCTAGAAACCCTCCAAATTTAGGAAGAGCCTGGAAGGAGACCTTATGCCTGCTTGGGCTCAGGTGGAGAGCCCACAGAGGCTGGAAGACTGGGCCTGGGGCCTGGGAGGGGCGTGGGGTGGGGTTGGAGATGGACCAGGGGAGCCGGGAACAGGAGCATCTACAGTTGCTGTGTTTCATCCTGTTGTTTTTTTTTTTCCCTGTTTTTTTTTTTTTTCTAAAAATGTAACAATGAAAATTCCAAAAATAAAACCCCTTCCAGAACCTCAGCCCCTCCTTCCCCAGGCCCCACCTCCGAAATGTGCCCTGTGGGTTGGGTTGGGGGGGGAAAGGGGAAAAAAAGAAAAGAGAAAAAAACCCCACTTTTCTGTTTTCTTTTTTCTCAGGAGGCCGAAGAGTCTTTGAGGCAGTGAAGGAGGCAGTCGGGGGACGATGGTGGTGAAAGGAGGCAGGAAGGGTAAGAGGGTGTCGAGGCTGAGGCTCAGGTAGGGCCTCCAGCAGACCCCCACCCACCAGGGGCTGGGAGTGTGTGTGGGTCCTCGCCCAATGTCCCAGTGCAGGCACAGCACGCCCTCTTGGCAGCCTGATGCTCTTTCTGGGCCCCCACCTCGGCTGCCATGGAGGGGAGGCCCAGGAGGCCCGGGGCAGCCTCTGGAGTGGGTGGGGTCCTCAAGGCAGGCAGAGCGGGCCTCTCTGGAGACAGGGCGTGGGGGCTGCTGCAGCCCATGGCATCCACCAACGCATCTGGGGATATGGACTCGTCCTGGCCCACAGCCACACTGTCTGCTTGCTGTGTCAAGGACATTTCCTCTACGTCCACCTCGGTGGATGCGTCTTGGCCATCGACATCCAACAGTTCCTCCGCTGGGGATGCATCCTGAGCCATGAATAATTCCTGCACCTCAACTGCACCCAGGGCAGAGGACGCCTCCTCCTCCTCCTCTTCATCCAGCGTCAGCTCAAACTGGAACTTATCAGGTGGGGTTGGGTGGTCCGGCCCCTCCGGCTCCTCCTCAGGCGGTGGCGACGGGCTCTGCCGAATGGCGCTGTAGTACCAGTCCCGGTTATCTTCCAATGTGTCTAGGATCTCCTGGGCATCTGGGTGGACCAAGTCAGCCCATGTCTCCCACAGTGGGTGCACAATATAGTCGATGAACCCCACCTGGGGAAGGGAGAAGAAGGATAATGAACCTGTGGCCACAGTGGTAAAGATGGCCCCGCCATGCTGAGGGATCTAATAAAAGTTAAATGTTGATACCATGTGACCCAGCAATCTTGCTTTTCCAAATCCACCCTGGAAAAATTCTTGCATAAATAACAAAAAAGAACCATATGAGATATAAACAAAAACTGGGAACACCTCCATATGTACATCAGTTGGGGATTTTTTTTTAATGTGGTACCCACAGATATTCATAATGGCATTTTTTGCAACAAAGAAAAACTGGAAATAACTTCATTGCAGGCTGAGACTAATATCATCTTCCCTACTTTTAGTGGATTTTTTTTTCTTGGGGGACACAATGCTTCCACTGAAAACTACATTTCCCAGTCTCCCTTGCAAAGAGAGGGTGTCAACAGCATCTGTGATCATGAGAGGCATCCCTGAGGATAGAAGCCCCATTCTTTCAATGGTAGAAGAGAAACACTGAAAGCTCCAGGTACCTGCCAATTTTGTGGAGCCATAGAGAGCCAAATTCCCTTTCTCTAGATTTTCCTTGTATAAAAGAAAAAAGAAAGCTTTGTTTTGTTTGAGTCACTGTGAATTTCTAACTCCTAAACACTTAAATGTCTATCAACGGAAATGACCACACAAACCATTATCTACATACATCTATGGGAACACTATACAGTAGCGAAAAAGGGTGGGCTAAATCTGTTTGTAATAGCTTGGACAGATTTCCAAGTCATTGTTAAGAAGAAAAGGCAAGCTGTATCAAATGAGTATATCCTATCTAATATGGAGGGAATATGCTAATTGACCCTCATGCCATCACAAAGATGGTGGCACCCACAGCCAATAAGGAGAGAATATGCTAATTGACTGCCCCGCCCTCAAAGATGGTGGTGCCCACAGCCACAAGATGGCAGCGCCCAGTCCCCTCAGCCCCGCCGGGGCGGCAGGTGCATGGCAAGGCCAGGTCTGGCTGCTCCGTGCGCCTGCCTCCGGAGTCCCCCAGTTCCCTCATCCCCCCAGCCGCCCAGGACCGGCCTGAGGCGCAGGTAACCAGAGCCGGCTGAGGCTTGCGCTGCCAGCAGTGGCAGCAGCAGAGGTGTGACGGCCCCCCCATCAGGTCGCCTCCCGCCCCCGAAGGCTCCTGGACTGTGAGAGAGGGCATGCCGGGCTGAGGGACCCCCCCCCTCCAGTGCATGAATTTTCATGCACCAGGCCTCTAGTATTTATATAATTTATCTTTTTCAAAAAGCTAAACCCACGACCACTGCTGATAAGTTGCCTTTGAAAATCTATATATATAAAAGCCTAAGAAACTGTTCAACCATTCTACTGGTAGCTATGATGCACACTGACCACCATGGGGCAGACGCTCAACACACAGACATGGAAACATGGAACAGATCGATGAATCTCAGAGGGAAGGGGGGAGGGGGGAGGTTGGAAAGGGATTAACCAAAGATCTTATATACATACTAGAGGCCCAGTGCACAGATTTGTGCACCAGTGGGGTCCCTCGGCCTGGCCTGCAGGGATCAGGCCAAAACCAGCTCTCCGACATCCCCTGAGGGGTTCCGGATTGCAAGAGGGCGCAGGCCAGGCCAAGGGACCCCACCAATGCACGAATCCGTGCACCGGGCCTCTAGTAACTATATAATAAAACTATGAAACTGGCTTTCATCAAGTGTGGGGATGATGTGCAGGCCCAGGAGACATTTGAAAATGTCTGGAGACATTTTTGACTGTTATGCCTAGACAGGGGAGGGTGTTCCTGGCATCTAGTGGGTGAAAGCCAAGGGCGCTGCTCAACACCATAAGATGCACAGGACGCCCCCACCACAGAGAATGATCTGGCCCCAACTGCCAACACAGCCAAGCTGGGTAATCCTGGCCTAGAAGGGCACACACACCGAAGTGGAAAAGGTGGGTCTCACTGGGAGGAGACTAGATGTGGGGAGGGGGAGAACCTCTTACATTCACACCTAAGTGCTGAGTTTTTATGAGAGGGCACTCCTGTCCCTCTTGTTAAATTAATCAGCACATGTAGACAAGTCAATGCATCTCATTTCAAAATCCTCTAAAAGTCGGGGACCGTATCACTGGCCAAGTTAGGATATCAGAAACAGGTTGAATCAGCATAAGGCCTGTAACTAAGGGCCGGCTAAGTATTACTGATCCTATGGCAGTTGCTGCAAATGAGTTAGAACTGTCTGAGGATGTGTGTGCCAGAGGCTCAGTTTGGTTGTTCTGTGGAGGAGAAAATGCTGTGTATTTCCCATCAAGATAGAAAAGAATGCCCTGCCAGCATGGCTCCGTGGTTGGGCGTTCACCTATGAATCAGGAGGTCGTGGTTCAATTCCCGGCTCGGGTTGCTGGCTGGATCCCTAGTGTGGGGTTTGCAGCCAATCAATGAATCTCTCTCATCATTGATGTTTCTATCTCTCTCTCCCTCTCCCTTCCTCTCTGAAATCAGTACAAATACATATTAAAAAACAAACAAACATCGAAAGAAAAAGAACAAAGACTTGAAGTTGTGGAGGAGCAGGTCAGGACCTTCTGGGCCTGAAGCTCCAGGCGGATGGGGGGAGGCTGGTGCCCTGCACTGTACCTGAGACTTCTCCACCGAGGCTGTGTGCTTGTCGCACATGGGGCTGATCTCCATGCCGCGCTCCCGCTCGCGGTCGCCCTGCTGGAAGAACTCGGCCATGATGCGGTCTGTCCACTGGCGGTACAGGTCCAGCGGCTTGGTGGGGTTGCTGAGGTCCGCACAGTGCACCATGTTCCTCAGGACCTGCACGGGGCACGGGACCTTCAGAGGCCATGCTCCTCCTGTCCCAGTGGGAGGCTTCAGGCTTCCTTACCTTCCCCCCTTGGGGGGAGAGTGGGTAAGGGGAAGATGCAGAGAGACAGAGCAATAAAGAGGAAGATGAGTGGGGAAAGGAGGGAGGAGATAAGAAGGGGTTAATGGAGGAAAGGGCAGAGGGAAGGAGGAAAATGGAGGGAGGTGTGGGGGAGATCGAGAGAG